AAATAAACCTTTTTTTTTTTTAAAAAAAAGTGACACTTTTGCTTGTCACTCTCCCAAGCTGGGACAGCCCGCTGGGAACTGTCAGAAGTTGGCCTGGTGAGTTATGCCCAAAGGGTTGTCACTTCACTCCAACATTAGGTCAGTTTCTGAGACGAAAGTGCTTACCCTACTAAAACTGAAGTTATTTGTTGGCAGATTCATCTTTCCTAATCTGCCCATAAGTGTGTTTTTCTTTAGAGAAGGTGCCTTGTAACTTGCCTGTGCAGAAGCCATGATGTGCTTCCCTTGTGGTACCCAGCTCCCAACATACACCTGAAATCTTCTCAAGACCTGCCCCATTGTAACCCAGGCATCCTGGCACTGCTTCTGTGATTGCATACAAAGACACATGATTGTGGCAATCTTTAATATGCATCTGGCAGACCAGACTGTGGTGTTGTGGCATCTGTTATGCGGTGTCTGTTCAGCTAGACTCATCCTGGATCAAAAAAAAATGTTTATGCCCATGATAGGGACAGAGTCTGTCCTTTAAATCAGCTTCAATCAACCCCAGTGAAATGAAGAATTCCAAGGCCAACCCATGACAAGATGACAACAGAAAGCACTATGATGGATGGATCATGTGTGCCGTGCCCCTGAGGGGACAGGCTGTGGCTATCTTTGAATTCTGGGTCAGGCAGCTCTTCCCTAGGTGCTGAAAGCTGCTGGTGCCTTTTGAAAAACTCTACAGGACTAAGGAGATTTTAAGTGAGATGGGTATGTTGTGCATGACACGCACAGGACCATTCTGTTTGCAGCTGAAATGTGCAACTGGCAAGCACAGGCCCAGGAGCCCCATGCTGTGCCCTCCACCAGTTTTCCTAGGCATGGCAGCTCACAAAGAACTGTGGCCCTGCCTTTAGGGTACATGATGCTTTCTTGGTCTGAGTAACGGCAGGGCCTACTGTCAGTTCATGCTCCTCCACCCCCTTGATTGGGAGCAAGTCATCAGAGTGTCATATGATCACAATTGATCTTAGGTACTAAACATTAAAGCCACAGCATCTCACTGTATGCAGCAGAGGACATTTTACTGTCAGCTCGACTGCTGAGCAGTTGGCCTCACAGCCAGGAGCCTGGTGTTTGAACCTGACTCCTGGAGTATCCTCTGACTCTTGTCTCAGGAAATAGTTTAGTCCGACTGCCCCAAATTAGGGGGGAGCAGACCATAAGTTCTTATACAAATATTTTCACTGTGATTAACTGTTAATGACTTGAGCCCACATCTACTGGTTCATTTCCGTTTCTTTGTGTGTCAAGAAAGGGAAGAGAGTAGGCCAGGGCAATTCCTCAACCCAAAATGTCAAATACATCAAGTGCTCTTGATTCTCCTTTTCTAGTAGAAGTATGTTTTCTCACTTGATTTTTATTAAATCTTTTTAGTTTATTCTTCTAACAAATACTTCTTGAATGCCGCTATATGCCAGACATTATTGGGTGCACTGGGGATACAACAGTGACACAATAAATAATTCCTGCCTTCAAGGTGATTTGAAGCTGTCCCTCTTTACTATTTTGTAAACTGCATATAAGCCATGAGTTTTTGTTTGTTTTCTTACAGTGATATTAAATGTTTTCTCAGTGGGTTTGGGACACTTTTCTTCCAGGATTCTGATGTCAGGGCTATCTTGTTGGAGTTGGCAGGGAGCCTAGTAATGAGAGTTCTCTTTGGTTTTGAGGTACTATTTCTCAAGTAAACAAGTTTCTAGAGAAAACTCACAGTATTTCAGTCCAGTAGTTTACACCAGCTCCTCCTGCCTAGCATTGTGTTCTATTGGGAGCATTCTGGGTTGCAGGTGAAAGGACACAGCTGTAGACTGTTTGAAGGATACATTCTTTCCTCTGTGTGTGTCAAGTACCACTTGAGGTCAAGTACTTATCTATCTGAGAAGCTGTCCCATGCATTGTGGAGTGTTGAGCAGCATCCTTGGCCTCTATCTAGTAGGTGCCACCAGAGCCCTCCCCGAACCCAACCTGGCACCGTGATTACCGGAAATGTCTCCAGGTAGAGCCCCATGGGTCTCCTAGCGACACAGTGGGCCAACACCACCACCTGAGCCAAGGACCACTGGTCTGCGTGATGTTGTTCAGAGGGTCTGTTCTCACACCCTTTAGATGGCAAGTTAGCAAAATCCCTTAACAGAAGCACCTAGGCCAAGAATCGTTTTCTGTCTGGCCCTGCGAGAAGCGTGGCGCCACTTTCCACCACAAAAGAGAATAGAAAAAGTGAGCCAAGAGTTTATCAGTCTGCTGAAACAATATCAACAGAGAATGATAAATGCTGTTAGCCAGTTAGGCCCAGGAGAGATTTTGCATTTCCTCTTGGAAACATGTTAAAATCTTGTTCGCTTACGGTAAGTTAGAAGACGTGTTGGACACAAAACACTCTGAGTTCATCTCGGATGATTTGCAAGCACATGTGCTCCACATTTGGTGATCTCAGCTCTGCAGCAGTGGGTGGCTCGTTTGCAAACATTTCCATTTTCAAGAACTGACATTGGCTTCAGGAAGTCTCTGTTGAAACATGTGATGCAAGAGGGCTTTGGGGCTGCCCCCTCGCCAGCCCAGCACAACAGCAATGTTCTGAACAGCTCCTCAGAGTCTCCCTGTCTCCCAGGGAACCCCCTACCACCACTAGCAAGAAAGCACAGGAACAGCAATGCCTGCACCATGCAGCGTCTCTCCCCGGCCTGGCCCTGATCAGCCCTCCCCACTGCATAATGTCGTGGGTCTCTTACATAGTTCCTGCATCTCAAGTAGGCTGCTTCTGCAGTAACAGCCATATCGATTCTGTTGACCCCTCTCACCTTCACAAAGCTGAAAGTCCAAAGTGGGGCCATTTGACTACCTTTCCAATACAAAGATTTCTCAACCTTCTTCATTCCTTGCACACACACACACACACACACACACACACACACACACGTACACACAAACACACATTTGCAATAGATGGGAAAAAATGCAAGGTATATGCTGATAAAAGCCAGGATCAGCCTCAGTGCAGAGAGAAAAGCTCAAAAGAGAAATGCAACAGGCTAGAGAATATCTGTTCATTCAGTTGCTGTTTACTGAGCACCTGCTAAGTGCCAGGCCCTAGCAATGTGTCTGTGATGAAAATGGACCAGAGGTGGGGGGCAGCACAGGAGTGTATCAGATAAAGCCACAGACTGCGATGCCAGCATCCTCTAGGGGTGCCAATTCGTTTCCCAGATGCTCCACTTCCAATCCAACTCCTTGTTAATGCCCTGAGAAAAGCAATAAAAGATGGCCTAAGTGTTGGAACCCTGCTGCCCAAATGGAATAGCCTGGCCATTATAGTCATTTGGGGAATGAAACCAGTAAATGAAAGAACTTTCTCCCCAGTTTTGACTTTGAAATAAATAAATAATATATTTTTAAAGCCCTCATTTTTAAAAGAAAATCCACAGTCCCTAGGGCAATGAGTTTTTCATGCAACAGAGGTCATGATAAGAGACAGCAAGATGCCATGGGGAGCACGCAGGAAAAGCCCCCATTCCAGTGTGAGGGAGTCAGAGAAGGCTTCACTGGGGCCCCTTTATCTTCTGTGTCTGGATGGGAAGGGGACACTGTGTGTCAGCAAAGAGGACAAAGGATATGCAAAGCCTTTTCCCAGACCTGCTGGAATCCTTGAGGAATGGAAAGGCTGGGCACATCTGCAGGGCAGAGGGTACCACGTGAGGCTGCCCCCCACCCCAGGACTCTGACCCAAGCAGCTTGATCACCAGTAGTGCCATCTACTGAGAATAAAGAGGCTGGGAAAAATGGGTTGGAGGAGGATGGGGTAATCTTGGTTTAAGAGCTGAACCCACCATTCACTCCACAGCCTGGGAATGATTTTCCAAAATGTTTCTGAAGGGTGTCAGAAGCTAATGGAAAAATGAGAAGTTAATTAGCAACTTTAAATGATTTTGTTCCTGTAGGCTATCGTGACGTTGTGGATCTCTTAGGTTCTGCCAATTTTATTTTTTTAGTCAGTAATGAACTTCTAATCTTGATTCTTATCATCCTTTTCTTCACATTTATTAAATTTATCCTGGAAGAGCCCAGAAGAGCCCTGGGCACCTGTTGATGGCCTGCATTCTGTCCTGTCCAGCTGTTCTGTGCTAACTACCATAGGGACCCTTTGCTGTGAATGGAAGCTGTTTTCGCTAATATTGCATAGTCTCATCTTCTAGAGCCAATATAATTTTTGAAATAAACAAAAGTGTGCTAAGTAGAATCTGAGTGTTTCTGTTTTAAAAATAATAATAACCACAAGCCAGTGTTGTGGTGTAGTCTGTAAACCCACCACCTGCAGTGCCAACATCTCATGGGCAATGGTTCATGTCCTGACTATTCCACTTCCAATCTAGCTCCCTACTAATGGCCCAAATTCATGGCCTCCCGTACCCACACAGGAGACCCAGATGAGGCTCCTGACTTTGGCCTAGCCCAATCTTGGCTGTCACAGCCATCTTGGAAGTAAATGATCTCTGCTTCCCTTTCTCACTATTTCTCCCTCGCTCTCTCTAATTCTTTCTAATAAGTAAATAGATAATTTTTTAAAAGAACAGACAAGATGGATTTTTAGGTGTTTTTGCCGTAAAGAAATTTTAACAGCATGAAGAGACAGATTCCTTTACCCTGGTTTGACATTGCACATGGTGGCCATAAGTATGTCCACTTTGTAGGCTTTATACTGGGCTGCTCCAGGCAGGTTCGTGATGTCAGAGCTTCCTGATGCTAGGAAAGCAATTACGTGGCAGACCTTGCACTCTGGTAATCCTTATCATCCCAGCATGCAGCGAACAAACACGACCATCAGGTGCAGAGATAGAGTTCTCTGCACTACTCCCTCTCCAGGACATCACTGTCCCCCTTCCCACTCATCCCCACTGGCCCAGAATGCCCTCACATGTTCCAGCCTCCACTCAGTGCCTCCCTTCTGTTTTTGGCAGGAGTTTAGATAATGGGCTGTGTGCAATGTAAGGACAAAGAAGCAACAAAACTGACGGAGGAGAGGGACGGCAGCCTGAACCAGAGCTCCGGCTACCGCTATGGCACAGACCCCACCCCTCAGCACTACCCCAGCTTCGGCGTGACCTCCATCCCCAACTACAACAACTTCCACGCAGCCGGCGGCCAGGGGCTCACCGTCTTCGGGGGTGTGAACTCTTCGTCTCATACTGGGACCTTGCGTACCAGAGGTGGGACAGGTAAGCCAGGTTGGGAGCCTAGGCTGGGGCATGGGGCTAGGGAAGAGGAAGCTGCCCACAATCCTGTTTCTCTCTCTTTTTTTTTTTTTTTAAGATTTGTTTATTTTTATTGGAAAGAAAGATACACAGAGAGAAAGAGAGACCAAGATTTTCCATCCACTAGTTCACTCCCCAAGTGGCCGCAGCAGCCAGAGCTGAACCGGTCCAAAGCAAGGAGCCAGGGGCCTCCTCCGGGTCTCTCACGCAGGTGCAAGGTCCCAAAGCCTTGGACCATCTTTCAGTGCTTTCCCAAGCTACAAGCAAGGAGCTGGATGGGTAGTGGAGCATCCAGGACATGAACACCGGTACCCGTATGGAATCCTGGTGTTTACAAGGCAAGGATGTAGCCACTAGGTCATCATGCTGGGCTGGCAATCCTGTTTCTTAAGTCATTGCCTGTGCAGTTTTAAAGCATTTATTTATTAGAAAGGCAGAGTGAAGGGCATAACAAAGAAGAGCAACAGAATCTTCCATCTGCTGCTTTACTCCACAAATAGCCAGCATAATTAGGGTTAAGTCAGGCTACAGGAACCAGGAACTCCAACTGGGTTTCCCACATGGGTGGCAGGTGCCCACGTATCCTGGCCGTACTCTGCCTCCCGGGCACATCAGCAGGGAACCGGAACAGAAGCACGGTGGTCAATATTCAACCTAACACTGCGCAGTGGAATACAGGCATCCCAAGCAGCAACTTAACCAGTGCACCTCAACACCAGCCCCTCTAAATTCTCATGGCAACCAAGCATTCGTGTACAATCAGCTCCCCTTGACTGAGAACTTATTATCTAATATTTTGATTGGTCTTCACCTATCCTTTGTCGCATGAAGGGCTGTGGGGGAAAAGCCAGAGCTTACTGAAAATAAATCAAAATGCCTGGATCCAGGTGTATGAGGGACCCCAAGTTGCTGCTTTGTAGGATTCTACACATGTTATTGAACTTCATTGTTCTACGAGTTGCTGTTGGCCGAGGCCTCTTGGCCCTGCTGGCTGGCTCAGAATAACTGGAACAGCTTCTGCAGAGCACAGGTGCCAGAGCTTGTGTGTGGCACAGCATGATAAGCTGCTACTTGGGGCAGCCATATGACAAGGCCTGGTTTGAGTCCCAGCTCTTCCATTTCTGGTCCAGCTTCCTGCTAACACACATTCTGGGAAGTAGCAAGATGATGGCTCAGGTGCTTGATTCCCTGCTACCCACAAGTAGATGGGACTCAACCTGGCCCATCTTGGCTTCAGCCTGGCCAAACCCCAGCTATTGCAGTGATTTACAGGGTGAGCTGAAAATAGACCATCTCTCTGTATGCTTCTGTCTACAACCACCTCTATCAGTATCTCTCTCCCCGCTCCCACCATCTCTCCCTTTTTCTCATTCTTTCAATGAAAGAAAAACAAAATATATTTTTAAAAAATATGGCTGGCAGTCCCGACGCGATGGCGCAAGTAGTTAAGGTCCTCGCCTTGCATGCCTGGGATCCCATATGGACGCCAGTTCTAATCCCAGCAGCCCCGCTTTCCATCCAGCTCCCTGCCTGTGACCCGGGAAAGCAGTCAAGGACAGCCCAAAGCTCTGGAAACCTGCACCAGCGTGGGAGACCCGGAAGAGGCTCCTGGCTTTGGATCGGCATAGTATCGGCCCGTTGCGCTCACTTGGGAAGTGAATCATCGGACGGAAGATCTTCCTCTCTCTCTCTCCTCTCTGTATATCCGCCTTTCCAATAAAAATAAAATAAATCTTTAAAAAAAATATATGGCTGGCACCATGGCATAGCAGGCTAAACCTCCACATTTAGCACCAGCGTTTCATATGCACACCAGTTTGAGTCCCAGATCTAGTTCTCTGCTAATGGCCTGGGAAAGCAGCAGAGAAAGACTTATGCTCTTGATCCCCTTTTACCCACATGGGAGATTCAGAATAAGCTCCTGGCTCCCACCTTAGATTCAGTTGAACTCTGGCCTTTTGGGGAATGAACCAGTACTTGGAAGATCTCTCTGTCCTTCTCTCCGTAACTCTACCTTTCAATAAAAATAAATAAATCTTTATACACGTGCACATACAAACACACACAGATGCCTGAGCTCCATCCCAGATCTCTTGAACTAAAGGTTCCTAGAATGTGAGGTGGGCATTTGGTACAGATGTTAAGATATTACCGGGTGGGACACACATTCCATATCAGAGAGTCTGGGCTCTCTGATCAAGCCTGGGCTTGAATCGTGCTTCTCTTCTCCTAACTAACTCCTACTAACTCACACCCAGGAAAGCAGAGGTGATAGCTCAGGGATTTTGGCCCCTGGCACCAACGTGGGAAGACCACCTAGACTGGCTTCCTGGCTCTCAGATAATGGAGATAAGATTTTTCTTCCATTCCACCCCCTTCCTTGCATTTCAAATAAATGGAATGGATGTATGTACATATATATACATATATATATATACACATATATATATACATAAAGAAAAGAAAACACCATAGGCCTCTGGGCATGTGTGTGTGTCTGTACATGAATGTACTCCCATGCCCACTTCCTTCCACGTTTTGCAGGCAGCACCTTCTCCCTCATCTTGCCATCCTCAGCCTGCCCATCACTTCTCATCCACGGGCTGTTTGGCAACATGATCATTCAGCCATTCATCTTTGCTGATTCTCTCAGCTCTCTCTCTTTCCATGTGACTGACTTGATCAGCCCTGAAGTGTTTCCATGCATCTTTCACATTTTATTTTACTCTTCCTTATTTTAAAACTAAATCTCATGTATCCTTAAGGGACATTTCTCTTTTTTTTTTTTTAAGTGTCTTTCACTCCACAAGGCTGTATTTTATTGCCATGTATACTTGCTGAGCTAGCTAATACTTTGTGAAATATCTGGCATACATTCTTGGGCATATGTTTTCTGAAATGCTTATAAGTTAGTTATCTTTCACATCTTTAGTCTTCCATCTCCCTCTCAGTATGTGAACCATGATAAGGAGATATTTAATGTTGCTTGTTCCAACAAGTGTTTCGTTTCTTACCAAAGTTGAAAAGAATGTGGCATCACTCCACGTGTCTGGAAGCACATGTCTTTTGAAGACCTCTTGCTTATGCACTTCCTTCCTCACAGCACAGTATCAAGTCCCTTCGGGTCAGAGCCAGTGCCTGTCCCTCCCTAGGCTCCCTAATCCAGTCCCCGGTCCCTAGACCCTGAAGACCCTTGATGAAACTGACAGGAGGAGAGCGGAAATGCAGATCCTTGCAGGCTCTGTCTGCCTCACAGTGGAGCCAGTGGGGGTTATGTGGGGTTTTTTTGGTTGCTTTTTTGTTTTCTTTAAACATTTTGTTTGTTTGTTTGTTTGTTTGTAAGAGTTACCAAAAGAATGAGAGAGAGATCTTCATCCACTGAGTCACTCTACAGATGGCTTCAACCTCTGTGACTGAGCCAGGCCAAAGCCAAGAGCATCTTCTGGGTCTCCCACATGGGTGCAGGGGCCATAGTCCTGGAGCCCTCTTCTGCTGATTTCACAGGCACATTAGCAGGGAGCTGGATTGAAAGTCAAACAGCCAGAACTAAACCAGCACTCATAACATATCAAAGGCGTGGCTAAACCTGCTGGCTTTGTTTTTAAGTTGTATAATGAAGGAAACCTGTCAGCAGGATGATAAATGAAGAATAAAAGTCTTTTCTGACCTCTCAAAGAAGCTGAAAGAAAGAGAGACAGTTGCCCGATGAACCCTGGTAAGATAGTGAGACGATCTGGAGGTCACCCCTCCTATACGATGTCCAAGCTGGGATGAAGTGCCAATACCAGCCCTGCTGTGTTATTTGTCCTAGAACAGTCCCAAGGGCACAGCTGGTCCCATCAAGCCACCTGCACAGCAAGAACAGCAACTCAGGGCCCGGCACGATAGCGTAGTACTTAAAGTCCTCTCCTTGCACGCATCGGGATCCCATATGGGCGCTGGTTCTAATCCCAGCTGCCCCGCTTCCCATCCAGCTCCCAGCTTGTGGCCTGGGAAAGCAGTTGAGGACAGCCCAAAGCCTTGGGACCCTGCACCCATGTGGAAGACTCTGAGGAGTTCCTGGCTCCTGGCTTCGGATTGGCTCAGCTCCAGCCATTGCGGCCACTTGGGGAGTGAATCATCAGACAGAAGATCTTCCCCTCTGTCTCTCCTCCTTTCTGTATATCCACCTTTCCAATAAAAATAATAAATAAATTTTTAAAAAAGAACAGCAACTCAATAGAGAGTGGGGTCCATGTTGTGTGTGCAGTAGAACCTTAAAGGCATTTGGAAATATGTGGACCTCAAAATGAGAAGCCAGGTTGCAAAGAAACATGTGTGAATGGTCAGTTGCTCTCCAACAACTCAACACAAAATCTAGGAGCTCCTAACAACATGCAAACATCATGTCACAGCTTCTGTGGACCTGGTAGCCAGGGATGGCCCAGCTAGGTGTCATGCCACAGCATCTCCCACATCTCACGGTCAGCTCACAGTCACGGTCAGCTGCGATCATCTCACGGGTCAGCTAAAAACCATCTGCTTCCCAGGCCCAGTGGTATTGTCAGCACTCAGTCCCTCACTGGCCACTGGCCACCCTCAAGTCTTTGACACGTGGGTCTTGCCAGCATGGCAGCTTGCTTCCTCGAAGTATGCAGCTGGAATTGACAACACAGGGAGTCCTGCCAGGAAGGCAAGTGTCACCACCTTCTGCTCACTTAAGAGACAATTCATCATCTTTGCCCATGCAGTTGGTCAGAGGGAAGAACATGCTCTGAGAAAAGGATGCCCAGAAGCATGGATGCCAGGGAACAGGAATCACAGAGAACTATCTTAGAATTCTGCCTGTTGGGGCTGGCATTGGAAAGCAGTGAACTAAGCTACCACCTGCTATACCTGTATCCCATTAATATGACCAGCCAGTTTAAGTTCCAGCTGCTCAACTTCCCATCCAGATCCCTGCTTATGAGCTTGTAAAAGATACCAGACTATGACCCTAGTACTTGTCCCTGGCCATCCTTGGAGCAGGGAGGGAAGCTCTGCTGGAATTCCAGGCACCTGGCTTTGGCTTTGGCAAAGCCCCAGCCACTGTGGCCATCTTGGAAATGGACCGGCAAACCTGCAGTAGAAGGATTCCTCTCTCTCTCTTTTTCTCTTTCTTTCTCCCACCAACCCCCACTCCCCATCCCAATCATTCTGCCTTTCAAATAAATAAATAAACATTTATTTCTCCCCCTCTCCACATATAAAAAAAGAATTGTGCCTGTTATATAAAGGATATCCTAAGCCAAAGGGGTCTCTGGACATTTGCTATTGACAGCACTCAGTTGTGAAGGAGGAAGAGTCTGTCTGGGGAGTGAACCAGAGGAAAAGACAGAGTGGCTGTAGGAAGAGTGAGTGCTTCAGGACAGCAGGCAGAGGTGGGTGTGAGGCAGGAAGAGAGCAGCGGGGAGGAATCTGCTCTGTGCAATAGGACAGAGCAGCTGAAAACTAAGAAAGCAAGTGCAGAGGCCAAGGGCGACCCACTTGCTAATTGGGTTTTCTCCCAGCTGCAGGAGCTTCCTGTTAGGTAATACCTGGCAGTGACATCAGGCCAAAAGACCACGTTGTTTCACCCAAAATCAAACATGGCCTCCTGATGTAGGCTAACAGCTTAGGGTGGGGCAAGCTGTCATCGACACTGGCCTGCAAATCTGAACCCCAGCAGCACTGCAGTGACAGACATGAACTTGGTGTCAGTGTCTCTCTCCTCCCCTGGCCTCATTCAAAGAGAGGGCTTCCAGCCCCAGAATTCTATCAGATCAGACACACATGGCATTTTCTAGGTGAAGACCAAGGCAAGAGGCCAAGCCCTGTGCCTCTGCTTCTCACACACTAGTTACCCCACTTGGTTGCAGTTGTAGTGCCAACCACGCGTATATTTTGGAGGGCAAGACCTTAGCGAGGATTGCCTTGTCTTAGAATTGGTTTTCCACTGTGTCGTCACCGTCTCATGATTTTCTTTCGCCAGGAGTTACGCTGTTTGTGGCCCTCTATGACTATGAAGCACGGACGGAAGATGACCTGAGCTTTCACAAAGGAGAAAAATTCCAAATCCTGAACAGCTCGTAAGTTTGGAGAGGGACGAAGAAGGCCACCTGGATATGCCATCCAGGCAAGGGGAGGGTTGCCATGTTGTCAGTCTTTGGCTCTTCAGATAACTGGGATGCAAGCAGCCCACCAGCTACACTTCCTGTTTCCCAGTAGCATCGCCTGGCAAAAGCCCACAATGCAATGCAGCCTTCAACCACACTGTTTGTGTACAAGCTGCATTTGGGAGGACCCACACAATGGCAGAGACCATGGGGGTTAGCTTTAATTCTAGAGTGTTGCCATCCACTGCCACCATCCGTGGCATTTCCACACACAGGCAGTTCCTCAGGCTTAGCTAACTCACCTTCCTGCTCCCCACCTTGGAATTGCCCTTCACGTTTCAGATGCTGCCCCTGACAAAGCCCTCACTGGAGGCTGGCAGCAAGTCCCTCCTGTCTTCAGAACCAAGAGCCCCTGAATGCCACTACAGTTGGTGAAGCCTGTCATGGAGCTGCCCCTAAGGAAAACCAGGAGGTGACTCAATGCTCATGAGTTGCAAGGGAGGACCTGTTTCAGCCACGTGTGAAGGCCTGCCACATGTTCCTTTTCCAGTGTGGCCAGGAGGAGCAGCGGCTCACAAGCAATGGGGCCATCTCACTGTTCAAATGCCAGACTTAAAGCCTCCCGAAAGGCAGAGAGCACAGCTGGGATATCCCCAGGGATTGTAAACATTGTCCCTGTCAGACTGAGATAGCATCCAGAAACTTCCAGGCCCTGAAGAAACTGGTGGGGTCCTGCCCTAGCATGCCGGGATTCCCCAAGGGTGCTTGGGAGCATCCCAGGCAGCCAGACTTGGTGGCACAGGAGGTGCCCTTGCTGCCCCCAGCAAACCTGACAGCAGGACATGCTGGTGGAAGGACCCTTCAGCAGTTTTCCCACAAGAACAAGGCAGCTTCCCTCACAGGACACATCCCAGGAAAGCACAGTGGCCTTTTTCTTTTTTAATGATCAATATAGGATTTATTTCAGCAAGAATATATATAGTCATCATTTCCAGACCTATATGAGATGTTAAACGTCTGACCCAATTTTCCCTCCTGGGTAAGTTTTTCTTTCTTATTCCTGTCCATCTTGAAAACATGATACGGGGCCCAATATCAGGCAAAGCTCCCAGAAGTGGAGTGGGCCCGAAATTTGGATAGATGTTTGTTGATCTTGCATGTCCAATAATTTAAGTCAGGATCTTCAATGAGCCTTCAGTGTTTGGGGCCATTGTACTGAAGCAAGTACTCACGTTTAAGCCAGGCTCTTATGGCCAGCTGCTCCACTTGCACCTGCTGGGTTTCCGGAGATAGGTCGGATTCAGCCAGACTAAGGGTAGATGGCAGAGTAGCCAGGCCACACTGCTTACACAAGGGGAATGACATCTTGGTGACCGGCACACAAGCACAGTGGTCTTTAAAACAGGCCTGAAAAACTGCCTGCTTGGGAAGTCCCACTCCCCCATCCCTGGTATACCTGCTGGCTCTCCACTGAGAAGCAGCAGCAAGAGGTGAATAGCTTGGAAGACACCGTCCACACAGCTACTGAAGAGTTCTGTGTTCATTATGACCCTTGTCAGTGCTAATTGAGCTGTGGTTGTAGTTTAACTTCTTAGTGAAATGCATGGAGGAAGTGCGTGTTATCCAAAGTGTGCATGATGTGTGTTATGCAAAGTATGTGTACCGACTGCCCCTCTACTCTCCGTCGAGATGGTTTACATGAGTGAGCCCACGACCTGTAGGCTTTACCACAATTGTTATTAGGCATGCAGTTTTGCTGAATTTTTTATGAATGCAGCACACCTGTGCTTGATGACACACTCAGGTCATCAAGAACAATACCTGCCACGCAGACGCCCTCTGTTGAAAAACAGTGAACAGCTGCCCTTTGGGAAGGCCGCTATACTGCAGCCACAAGCTGAGTTCCAAGTGTTCTCATTTATTTTTTTTTCTGACAACTGTCATCATCTGACATCTCAGGAACCAGGGGCTCTGGATTGGGCCCAACTGCCCAAGTGTCCCCCGCATAGCAGGAAGCCTAGTCCAGGTCAGCTGGGAACTAGGCATCCTGAGGTCAGTGTCCAGTGTGATCTAGAGAGATGGTCATGGTACCTCCCCATCAAAGGGGATGGAAGCATTCCAGTCTGGGGAAGGTTTGGGAGCAAGAGGAGGAGGGTAGGGAGTCTGGCTTTGTGCTCCCAACGTCCCATTCTTTGTTGTTAGACTGAGTCTTTAATGAATACTGTCTTGTCAGAGTCTGTGAACTCATTGAGTCCAAAGCACCCTCCCCACTCTCACTGTGTGCCTGACCTGCCAGGATTGGGTTAGAAATAGGAGCAAGATGGGTAAATTCTGAAAGATGATGAACCAAGGAGTAGTAGGAAGAACAGACACAGCTCCCTCAGGGTGTGGCGGTTTTTCCACCCGGAGCACGGTCCTGTCTGAAGGTCAGCCCCCGTCAAAGTCAAGGACACAATACCTGGACAGGATCTCCATGTCCTCAGACTGAAATTCTGGAGGCACTCTCCCAAGGACACCCCTTGCCACAGTCTCTGCCTTGTGACTGGCAGGCATGGCTTTGGCTGTTTATACAGTCCCTGACTCTGTCCTCTTGGAAGAAAACACCAGAGGCGGGGGTTCCCCCCCTCCTTTAATGCTTTTCCTTCCGCCCATGGAAATTCCTCATCCTATGTGCCATTTTAGATGCCCTTCTTCAAGGTTATGGGAAAGAAAAATAAGGTTTGTGTAACCAGATACAGTATCCTGAAGTCAAGGGTAATAACAGGGAAGAGAAAACTGGGAAAGGAAAACAAAGCCAGCGCACAGAAGCAGATGGCAGGAGCTCCCCTCCCCCGCACGCGCAGCCTCTGCCATTTTCCCTGGCTGGGTTGGGGAGGGGCAGCTGCCACACCCTCCTCTGCTGTGCCCTCCCACCCCTCCCCTGGCTTTGGAGTTGCCAAGGGGAGGGGTGCACTGTGGGGGCTGTGCACCTGCAGCTGTGCCAGAGGCGGAGGCAAGCTGCCCAGGTGCTGATGCTTCCAGGACCAGTGTTCTGTGTCCTGTGCGAAGTTGTAATTTAACTTGAACCCATTTTGCTATGCTTCTGTGAGATCCTCCATCTTACTCCATGGTTTTTACCACCTCGAGGCAATCACGCTAAATCACAAGAAAGATTTCTAAACTGAGATTGGAGCCGGACCAGTTTTTCTGTTTTTGTTTGTGTGGGGATTTTTTTTTTTTTTGGGGGGGGTGGTGTTTTTGGTTTTTGGCCTGGGCTAGTGACCCCTTGCAAGTTCTTTTCTGTTGTGATAAGAATTCCTGGCTTAGAGCCCCCACACAAAACACTTGATAACACTTTTGTAGATATGCTCTGTGGAAGTAAAAAGAGACCATGTTCAGAAAGATTTCAGCGTTTATAATAAAAGGTCTCCCCAGGCGAGTAGATTCGGGCAGACTTGGATTGGCAAACGCCACATCTTAGCTCCACCCGGGGCCCCTGGGCCTTTAAGCCTTGGGCTTGGCGACAGGCTCTTTCAATCAATCAAAGGCACACAGGGGAAGAGCTGCTGTGTAAAAACTCAAGAGCCCTTCTAACCAGCACTTCAGGTCTGATGTTTGAATCAGATGAAGATAACAAAGAATATCTTGCAGTGGGAAGGGGAGGTGGGAGGAGTGTGGAGAGCAGACAGCAAACCAGTTCGATAGGAGGAGTCCACTCTTGTGTGCTTTGGCAATGGCCCACAGCAACCCATTACATACTTGATGAGGAACCAGGAGAGAGGCCCACCCCCCTCACCCCCAGCTCCAAACCTGGACATGCAGCAATGAGGAGACACTGGATCAGAGCGGATTGTATACATGTGCGATAATATACCACTGCTGCTATAAATCTAAATATATATATTCTGTATTATAAATATATTTATATAAACAACAGCGATCACACATGAAATAAAAAGAAATTGGAAAAAACTTGCCAAGTGCAATTTGTCGGAAAGATTTGCACGGGAAGGACAGTTTGGGGAACTAAAGGTTGAGTGACGCTTACAGGTACTCCCAGATGCCCCAGAAACAAGGTGGCAGAGCTCCTGTCAGCCGGCGTGACTGATGAATGGTGTTTTGGTCCCACAACAGGGGACTTAGTGCATCTCAGGGCCAGCCCCACTGGACACCACTTGTGACCTGCCCTGCGGAGTCCACTGAGTGTTTGACACCTCCTCTATCTCCTCTGACACGAAGGTGACCCTGGGTGACATAGAAAAAGCAGGAGCCAAAGGTTTTTTTTTACCTTTCTCCTGAGTAACTGAAAACCTTGGTAAGATTAATAATGGGGTCTTGCAAGAAAATCATGAATTCTTGTTATGTGACTTTAGAAAAGGCTGACAGATGATCTTCAATCTGTGCTAAGTTATCCAGGTGCCTAGACCCAAACGAGATCGAGTAAGTGCTGGGCTGAAACTAGCTTCCTTCATGCCAGGTCATCTACATAAACCTGGGTCCCTCCTAACCACTGACGTTGATACATACCCTAACACCACTGCTGGCCTCTCTTTCTCCTCGTTTAACTCAGTAAGAACTAACTCCGTGGAGGATCTGGCATCCAAAAAGAAGCGTCTGCTACAAGCACTGAATATTTTCTTTTCCTCGCCATTTTGGGGCATTTCCAGGATGAAAGGTGTGGGAAGAGATAAAGGGTATTGTTAGATTTTTTTATGATGAAATGTCTCCATCTAGTGGAACTTGAGAGCAAGAAAGATTGTCATCCTAATTAAAGGGAAGATGGAGTCTCCAAAGTCGGTTGCTGACATTCACACAATGTCTAAAGAAAAAAGTTTAAACGCCACTCCTGTTCTGATACACAGACTCACGCCTGTTTGTGTTTCGTTTGGGGGAGGCAGAGGATGGAGACAGTGCAGACTGCTGAATCTCACCTTTGCTTTTCCCAGTTGAGCCTGGCTACCCTGGGGAGTGCCCGCCACAGAGGAGTTGCAAAGCAGTGTGGCTGCCACACAATTAGTCGCACTCTGGCTCCTCACGTGGGCATTGAACTCTTGGGTGTTCCTGTCTGCCTATGTGTGAGTGAATCTTTTGTAATAAAATCTGGACGTTAACTTTAAGGTTGCAATTAAAGGACTCTGAGAATGTAAGAATGATCATTTCTCCCCCTTGAACATATGGTAGAAAGAAAAAGAGAACATAAATTTTAAAAAAGAAATCGCCAGAGGGCAGGTGTTTGCGATTGTTAAGTTGTTACTTAGGAAGCCTGCATCTGAGTGCCTGGGTCCCAGTCCTGGCTGTTCTACTTTCACATCAGCTTCCTAATAATGCAGCAAGTGATGGGTCCTGCCACCCCAGTGGGTGACCTAGTTGAAGCTCTGGCCTCAGCATCCACCTGGCCCAGCCCTGGCTGTTTGAACCTGGAGACAAAAAGGATATCACTGGCTCACTCTCTCACTCTACCCTTCAAATCAAATGAATGTAAATAAATAATCTAAGAAAAAAAAAAAAAAAAACTTTTCCTGTTGGGCTGTTCTCTGACTTCTGCCAGTTATTTATTTGTGAAACCCACAGCTGCTCCCACAGCACTCCTTGCCCTCAGGCCGTTAGTGCTATTGCTGCTGCTCTGAGCTCAACTGTAGAGAATGGGACTCTGGGGGAAAGTTTGGGCTTAACATGGGGCCTGGTGATTCCTGGCCTAATTAAGTTGGGCTAGGGAGGATCTCTGCCTGGCCCCCAAAGACTGCTCATCATCTCATGTGCACCTGGGTGATCCTAAGCCTATCTCTTTTAACTGTCATGTTCACTCATTATTTGAGAGTTGAGTCACAAGCTCCCCCTTAACCCCCAACCCACTCTGTTCACATCCTGCCACAGCTCGCAGATTGAGACTGTGCTGTGGTGCTCAGGCGAGTTCTCAGATTTTCCCAGCCTTCCTCGCACATGCACACACAGCTGACCCCTCCTACTCTCCCTCCCTACCCCATCCCACCCCTATACTCGGGCCAGTGCAGTAACACTCTGAGGGGGTAACCTTGCGTTGAAATGCCGTGAACTAGGTGGGGAGTCCCTATGTATGTCCATCCCTTGTTGCACCTTACAGGTTCCTTCCCCAGAGCATCTGCAGCCTTTGGTGCTTAAGTCAACTGGTGCCAGGAGTTCTTGTAGCTTCTTCCCAACAGAGGACACTTCCCAAACAAAATGCCCACCCCTAAAAAAAAACCCTCTCATGGCCAGGTCCTACCTTCTTCTCTCCTTTCCCTTCCCACTCCCCTTTTCCCCACTTCTTTATTTTTAGTTATTTATTTGAGAATCAAAAAGACATTCAAAGTTGCCATCCTCTGGTTCCCTCCCTAAAACTCCCCTTCCCTACTACCAACAGCTAAGGCTAGGCCAGAGCCAAAGCCAGGAACTCAGTCCTAGTCTTCCATGTGGGTTGGTAGGAACCAACCACTTGAGCCTCACCTGCTGCCCCCACCACCCCCTGGGGTCTGTCTTAGCCGGAACGTGCACTCAGAAGCAGGAGCTGTAATTCAAAGTCAGGCACTCTGATATAGGATGCTCCAGTCTTCCACATGAAGGCTAAATGCCCAGCCCCTGGTCCTACAGTCTTCATTCACAAATACGGCAGAAGACAACTGTGGCTTCACCTCCCATTGCACATCCTGTGTCCTTCATGGTGGGAAAGAGGCAGGGGGAATTAGGAGAAAAGGATCCAGGCCGGGAAACTCAGGCGCCAGCAGGAGTCAGCACCAAACCAGTAACCACAGTGGTCATAATCATCTCTCTCTCTCTCTTTCTTTTTCTCCCCAGGGAAGGAGACTGGTGGGAAGCCCGCTCGCTGACGACCGGAGAGACGGGTTACATTCCCAGCAATTATGTGGCTCCAGTTGATTCAATCCAGGCAGAAGAGTATGTTTCGCTGTTTTAACTGCTTACCTTGAAAGTTGCATGGTGCACACAAACACACACACACACACACACCCCTCAACTTTGTTCAGGAAGAAGACAGATCCCCTCAGGGGCTTGGGGGCTGAGAGCGTGTGGCTGTGCTTTGTGTTACCCTGTCTGTCACACACTCTTGCTGACTTCCCAGATTTCTTTATACCTCTCGTTTCTTTCTTTCTTTCTTTCTCTTTCTTTCTTTGTTTCTTTGTTTCTTTCTTCCTTCCTTTCTTTCTTTCTTTCTTTCTTTCTTTTCTTTCTTTCTTTCTTTCTTTCTTTCTTTCTTTCTTTCTTTCTTTCTACCAACTTATCTCTACTTGGAAAGTTTGTTTCCAGACCCTGAAAGAAAACCCCAATACCTTTTATCACCTCAGAAAAAAAAATCACCTAAAAAATACAATGAAATTCTAGCCACAATATGTATTGTTGTCACCCCAAGTCACTCTATCCCCTGTGTTAGAGAGACCTGAGGCAAGGGGTGAATCATTAGGAAGGTTTGTCCTTGAATGTGATCAAAAAGGTTAAAAGCATCTCACATTCGGTGTGCCCCCACCACTTGGAACATGAGGCTGGGTTTCAAACATGCCCCTCCTTTGGATTGAGGTCCCTGTGAGTTTTGTGGAAGACAGTAAATAGCCACTGAGAGCAATTGAGGTGTGTGGTCAATGGGTCAAGGGGACCCCAGATGGAATAATTATTATGGAATAATTGTCTTTTCCCCTCGCGGGTCGGGGACTGACAGCCCCTACAGAGCAGTTCCTGTGTAAATGATGGCGCTGGGCCATCATTTCCCTGGTTGGGGACCTCGGCCCTCTCCCTGACTCCTGGGGGAGCTGCCTTGCTAGGAAGGGAGTGGAGGCAAGTCGGTCACCAAGCCCCACTTTGGCTCTTGCTATTTAATTTCGCCCTGGATTTGTTTAGGCACCACGAGGAGGATTACGCAAGCCCAGCCAAATCCCCGACTGGAGCATTCTTGAATTCCCTCGTATTTCCTCTAAGAAGTTCTGTTTTATTTCCTGCTCTCACTCACATAGTCAGTGGTTCTAAGCTGCTCTTTTTTTTTTTCCCCCTCCAGCGAGTGCCTTTTATCATCTGTGATGAAGGTGTTTTTCCTTTTTTACTTCAGGGCAGATGTGCAAACATCTTTGTGTTCCTGTGGAATAAAAGGCGCCTCCAAATGCTGTTTTGCTTTGATTTTAAATCAGAACCTACCAGTTATATATTTAAGCTGTATCTATAAAGACAGATGTTAAAAGTAGTTTGTTTTAGAAAAGAGTTTACTTTTGTAAGTAATACCTGTGATTTTACAGGGGCACTTTGTTATCTTTTATCTTCAAACACAAGCATTTGGTTGCAGTCTGTTCTCAAAATTCCTTCCTCACTGGTGGTTTTTTTGTTTTGTTTTGTTAAACTGGGCTGTGGCTAACAAACACAGAAAGTCATTTCTCACAAATGATTGGTGCAATGCTCTGTACACCGGCTCGTGCTAGATTAGAGAGTGTCTCCCATCTTGGTACCCACTGAAGTCACTGAGGAGCTGACATACAAGAGTCTTTTCTTACCGTCAATGAAGCTCTTTCATTCACAAAAGACGTTGACAGTGAACACATAATAGCTATGTCCCAGTATAATGAATTGAAACTTCCTTTTAGAAACTGCATTCTTTCACAGTTAAACATTCTAAAAATAGTTCCTGTGCACAGATTCCAATTGAAAGCTCCAGAATCTTCCCTCGGGTTTTGGGAGCACCTGCTGCTCATTCAATACCCCAGGCTGAAATGCTAGCTAATTGGGTCTTGAAAGTGCAAGGGGAAGATAAAAGACACCATCGCAAAGGTCCCAGGGGGGATGGAAGGCAGTACCTCACAAAGTGGCACAGGACTGTCTCTCTAGTGTGTTGGGAGAGAATGTGAAAATGTCTACAACACCAAATCCTTTTCTTTTATTTCATTTTATGACAGTTTCATAGGCTCTGGGATTCCCCAAACCCCTCCAAAAAGCCCTCCCCCATATTGAATTCCTCCATATTGTTGCAGTAGTACAGTTCATATCCGGTCCTGATTCCTTCATTGCTGGCATGGACCATGTAGAAAGTCCAGCATCTTATTATCCAGATAAATTCAACAGTTTCATTGGGGAGACCATCACGGGTGTGAAAGTAGAGCCGGCAGAATATCATCCTCTCCAGTGAAAAGCCACTACACAACTTCAACAGCAATTTACAACATCATGAAGTTAATTGACATGGTATTAAGTGACCAATATGTTAGAAAGTGCAAGTTCTTAACCACATCCTATGGCTACTTCATTGACATTTCAATTTTAGTTTATACACAACTGACTGCTATACACCTTAAAATAGTTATAGGGTACTATTCAGCTGTCTTGTGTCTATTTTCATTTTTATATTTAGCAGCTTATAGTATTCAAGCATGATTTCGACTGAACTTCACGAATTTTAGGATAGTCCAACTTGCCAAATATTAACAATTGAGGAGCAGAACAGTTTTAGGAGGGGTGTGCGGAGAAATCTTCAATACCTTAGTGAGGAGTAACTAATCTTTGTGTCCTACTTCGTAAGGTATATGGGAGTCCAAGCTGACTGTTTCCTGTCTAAGCTTTCCTTATTGGTCTCTGTCTATCTGATCTAATTTTGGGGAAGTGGGGCTCCAGAGTAATCCTGATGGTCATTGCAAGAGAAGGTGGGGAGCCAAAGTTGGAACTAAGTAAGGACCAGAGAAAGCTCTCCCAAGTCCCAGAAGTTTACTGTTCTTCTGTATCTGAGGAATGCTAGTTCCCCTGGCTGTTGTTCTGATGACATTAGATTCTGTGAGAAAGGATCTGGGCTTCTTCCATTCCATGTGGGAGATCCGATAGGGAATGGATGGCCTCAGAGTTCTCGGCCTATGAGGGCATTCCAATTCCCTATGGTCTCCTTGGCCATTGGGATATAGTCCTTGGTGCCCATACTGATAGTCCTTAGTGAGGATCCAGGGGTCTCCAGGTTTGGGATACAAGCCTTCTCCTTTCTGCCTGCTCCACTCTGGGGTCGTCTCCTGCTCTGTGCATATGACCTCGAAATAAGGGGTTGTCAGGATTGCTCTTGGATCCCACTCTGTGTCTTTATTGTTTTTGCTAACGTCTAATGCAGATTCCAGTCTGCTGTCTGTAAGTTACATGCTATATTCTTGATAGGTTATACTTAACATCTTCCTCACACACTCTAAGAAGGTAGAAGACTTCTATGCTCTCCCAACCCATTACAGAATAACATAGGGAATTAAAAGCATATCAGGCTTTACAGTTCTTTGATGTAGATCATAAGCAGTCTGTCTCTCATTGATTGTTGATTCATTGGTTACATCACAATATCTTATTGCATGTGATACAGGCTGTTTGAGGTTGTAATATTACAATTTACATGTACTATTTTTCGGGTTGATATCATTTTGTCTTAAATTAAGCCAAACATGTGGTATCTAACCTTTTGTGATTGGCTCATTTCCCTTAGCATAATGGTTTCCAATTGGGCCCATTTGGCCACAAAGAAATACATTTCTTTTTTTTTTTTTTTAATAGCTGAGTAGTATTCCATGGAGTAGATGAACCATAGCTTTCTTATCCAATCTTATGTTGATGGGCATTTTGTTTGCTTCCAAATTTTTGCAAGTATTGATTGTGCTGTTATAAACATGGGAGTGCATGTTGGTTTCTAACACCAAATCCTTTTTAAGGTCATGCTCATCAAACCCAGATCTCAGGGACACCATGACCCTTCCCTGCAGCTATGCAGCAAATCACAACCCAGGTGTCTAGTCAGGACTTTTTGCCATTCAAGTCCTAACACCTGCAAGATAGGAAGAAAAAATAGACACAAGCATCCAAGGACAGCTGCAGTCATATCAAATCAGGGGTCATGTGACCTTGTTTTTTTTTTTCAAAATTCCTACAGGTAGGAAATTACAGAAAATATTCTTATGTCTCTACAATTTGTTCTGAGTGTTTTTTTAAAGCATGGTTGATTAGTATACATACATATGGATGTATACTTATATATAGATATAGATATAGATATAGATATAGATATAGATATAGATATAAAGCATCATGATTTATTATTTTCCAGGGGTTATGATTAAACTCATAAATCAGGGGTCTTGTGACTAAGCATGGGAGGGTTCTCTGGCCATTTCCAAACAGAGTCTTGGATTCATTTTTTCTAAATGCAGGTGGCAGTTCTAACATAGATCAGCGCGTGTCACCTCTGAAAGCAAGGAAAACAATCCACATTTCAGATGTATGCTGTAGTTGTTTAGGAGTGAAAGATGTGGATTAGAGACAGAAGTGAGAATAGACTGAATGAAAAGAAAGCGTAGTGAAGCTTGGAAAGGAGGGCGAGGTGTGTAGAGATGCAAGGAGAAGCTCAGGGCACAGCTGGAGGTGCGGGGGACACATCAGCTATGAAGCCCAAGTGACTTCATTGTATAATTGCTCCTGATGACCACTTTCCTTCTTGTGCCCCCACGTGAAGGTGGTACTTTGGAAAACTGGGCCGGAAAGATGCAGAGCGGCAGCTGTTGTCCTTTGGCAACCCAAGAGGTACCTTTCTCATCCGTGAGAGTGAAACCACCAAAGGTAAGCTAGGGTGCTGAGGAAACTGGCTAGTAGTTGGCGTCTGTGGATCACAGAGATGAACGGCTCCTCTCCATGTATGGTGTCCATGGAGGGCACCACCATGGCACCTGTCCTGGTTCCAGTGCAGGCCTAGTTCCTGTCCCCTCTCTGCTTGGGATCTCAAACTGCGGACGGCTCCAAAAGCACCAAAGAGCTTCAGAATCAACCCTTTCCTCCCAGCCCACAGATCATAAGCTTCCCAGAAGTCCTTTAGAAATAAAGATTTTCCAAAACTCTGAGTTCCTGCAGGCACCCCTCCTACAGATTGACTTTGCTTTCCTTTTTTTTTTTTTTTTAAGGTAATTGAACTCTTCCCTTCTCTCCCTTTTTTATTATTTAACAACTCATTAGCAGCCGCAGGAGGGGAAAAGTCAAAGGAAAAAGGAATCATGGTTTCCCAGAATGATTCATCAGGTCCAAGCTACCCGCTCCCGGGAAGCAGGATCAGGCATAAATGTGAGGGATGCCTGCTTCTATGGAAACAGTCCCATGATTGCTACTGGCCATGCTGTCCCTTTTGACCATCCCAGGAAAGGGAATCCAAAGCAAGCCAGGAGGGGAATGGTTGGACTTCTCTGAATCTTTCCTGGGCTATACCCCTAAGAACACTGAGTAAAGGGTTATGAATAACTAGGAAAGTTTCAATCTCAAGGGCAAGTTAATTTTATTGCTGATACCCTCTGACATTTGCAAGACAGCAAAAGGGGCGTCTCTGGTTACTGAGTGGAGATGTGCTGTGCATGCATGCATTTGTGTGTGTGTGACTGCATGTGTAAATGAGCACATGTGTGCATGCTGTTCATGCATTCATATTTGTATGTGTGTATATATCTTTGACAAAGATTAAGAATAGCCAAGCAAATGAGACCAAGAAAAGAAAGTAAAAATTCAAAATGATTGGAGGCTACTGCTTCTTTGCATATTTGCCAGGTGCCTATTCACTTTCTATCCGTGATTGGGATGATATGAAAGGAGACCATGTTAAACATTATAAAATTCGCAAACTTGACAATGGCGGATACTACATCACCACGCGGGCCCAGTTTGAAACCCTTCAGCAGCTGGTACAGCATTACTCAGGTAAGCCCATTCGAACAACCTTCTAACCATCCAGAGGCTGAGCAAGGGGGTGGGCAGACACAGGGCTGGGAGGAAAACAGGCAGGAGCAGAGGTCTAATGCTGAGAAATACAGCCGCTCATGACACCCCTTCTGGGGTGGTTCGCTGTTGTTGTACTATGCTTGCTGTTACTCCCACGTGCTTCTCAAAAGTTCCCACAACAGTTTGGTGCCCCCAGGAAGGAAGTAGTAGGTAAATATTTTAAGTTACTTATTTTTTCATCTTCCTCTTAAAATCTTTGTGAGTTAGCTTGTCCAAGCCAGTCTATGTATGATGGCAGAGCAAACAGTCAAGGGAGTTGGGGGTGGAACATGTACAAAGGCATTTCCACAAGGAGCACTGTGTGTTTCCCACACTTTCAAATGGCGTGGCGGCTTGTACATTTCATCCTTCTGACAAGGTGAAACTTACAACTCTTTTTCTCCTCCCTCACCCAATGCTTTGAGTCCCAACTAGACTTAGAGGCCTTGGGACCCACAGCTCTGACATCTGCTCCATCTAATGTTACATTCAGCCCCAGCAACCCAGTGCCACCACCTCTACTGCGTGTTCAGATGTGCAATTCATGCATTTTATTAAAGAATTTGATTCCATGTGTAATTGTTACAATCATTCTTCTTTCCTACAAGATACAGTATCTCCCACTCCATAATCCCTGTACATATGTGAAGATACATAAATATACGTGTTCAGAAATAATCTGTATCCCCTTCAATCTACTAGTTGTGCAAACCAGATTCTCATTTTGTGTTGTTCTTCAGGACAAGATTCCAAAAACCTTCCTCTGCTGTAGCTCTGTGCACATCTGCTGACAAATACGTAATTTTTTTAGTGCAAAAAAAATCATCCTTTCTGGAAATGGGCTTGAAAAATGCCTATCATAGGTGCTAATGAGCTATTGGAAAAAATTAGCAATACTTGGAGGTACAAATTGCTGAGGACCTTGGCTAACATGGCTTGTGTGGGTTCTGATGAACTATTTGGGAAAAATGGAGCAGAAAATCTCCCTGCATGTTGGTGTAACTCTCAGAATGCCTGCTTGTTTGCAGGGAGTTTTTAGATGGTGAAATATATTTCATTACAGCCAAACACCAGAATGATCCCCGGGGTCTGGATCATTTGAAAAGATTGTGTTGGAAAGGGCACCTTAATAACATCGTAAAGCTGGAAGGGGAGAAGGAATATGAAGAACAATAGACATTTTTTTAAGTTGAGGGAAGAAAAATCCATCTTGAGTCAGATTTTGTTTTTATATTAGCTGTTCCTCCCCCGCTCCTTTGTCTCTCTCACACACTCAAATGCCTTTGAAACATTGACACCTAAATAATTTCCTGCCTACATATCTCAGAACCCAAGTCCAGGGGCAAAAAGTAGGTTACAGCCAGTTTTCAAAAAGAAACCAACACCATCTTTGCTTTCCCCAAATCTGAGTGAGGGGTGAAGGCTGGGAGGTTGGGGGTGGGGCAGGGACCCTGAGTGGGGACACGCCTGTCCACTTCACACGTCAGGCTCTGTGCCGCTTCCCTGCTTGCTTGTTCCTTGTTACCTTTTCACATCTGACTGATGTTTACCTTGCCACTGAGTCGATTTCTCTGTACCCCTGCTAAATTCTAAAAGGTTAGACTCTAAAACCGCTTGGGTTCCTACGCATTTTAAGTTTCCATTCTTTCTCCTTTCAAACCAGACCCACTAAGCTACACATTGGAGGTTGTAGCAAAGGAAACACACACACACCATCCCCCAGCCCCACGGGAAAGAGCAGAGCACCCAGATAAGCGGGCAAGCAGAATACAGCCTCTCAGGATACCAGAGAGATTGTTAGAGAACCGTGACGTCCTCCACCCACCCCCAGCAGGCATCATCTTCAGCCCCAGCATCTTCTCCCAGTCCAGTGTTCTACACAGGCCCCGTCTCAAAGTTACACCTTCACCTACAGCTCTGCCACAATCCCACCAGATCCTCTGGGTGTGGCTGGAGAAAGGGAGCAGATGTACTTTTCTTTAGTCCCAGTGTTCTTTCTGCCATCTGTGACATTGAGCTTGAAGATGTTTTTCAAACCAAAGCAGTCTCCGTCTGCACCTGTGTGTATAGCTGGTATCGTCCCGATGGGGGTGGAGGTCGGGGTGGCGCCCCTGTGGCATGTTCGCTGTCTCAGCTCCAAGGAATGTGCTTCCGTGTGTGGCGTCTGAGCCGTGCCTCGGCCACCAGGGCCCTGGGGGAGTTGCGTCGGCGCTGTCGCTGTTGTTGTTACATGTGTTGTGCTCTTCTCTCCCTCTCCTGCCACTGCCCTTGCTCCTTCAGAGAGAGCCGCAGGCCTATGCTGCCGCCTAGTAGTGCCCTGTCACAAAGGAATGCCAAGGCTTACCGATCTGTCTGTCAAAACCAAAGATGTCTGGGAGATCCCCCGAGAATCCCTGCAGTTGATCAAGAGACTGGGAAATGGGCAGTTTGGGGAAGTATGGATGGGTATGCTGAACTTCAGTTACTCTATGACATTAGCTTCCTGGTTTGGGGAATCCCAAGCATCCAAGATGGAAGGTGAAAGAGCCCGACTTGCTAACCACAGGAAATAATCATTTCAATTTTGATCCTAAAATCCTGGAACTTCTAGAAAGGAGATTTCAGTGGGCAAGATTGACAAATGGCTCAACTTGGACTGTTATGCAAGCCCTCCATTCAAAGGGCATGAGGAAGGTCCTACCATGCCTAAAATGGCTTGCCCTTTGCTTCCAACCGCAGACACATGTTGAATGTCACCCTAGCGGGCAAGTCACCTTCCATCTTTTCTAGTGCATGCATGCATGATTATGGATTATAAGGACTGTGTTTTCTTTATTAATTCCCTTTCCTATAGAGAAAGCTGATGGTTTATGTTTTAACTTAACTATGATTGCATCGAGTTGTGCCCCACAAACTTCTGGATTGGCTAAAGATGCGTGGGAAGTGGAACGTAATTCGTTGTCTCTGGAGAAGAAGATGGGTCAGGGGTGTTTCGCTGAAGTGTGGCTTGGTAAGGCAGAAGGCACATTTTGCTTTGGCTGCTTCACAAAGCCAGTTAAACCAACCGTTCTCAACCACAAAAAAAAAAAAAAAAAGGTACAGCCCATTGACACAGAGACACCTAGAGATACCCAGAGATACCCAGATGTGCACAGGCCATCCAGTGTGTGCAAGTATCCTACTTCCTGGGGCTCATGAAGGTGCCCAATGAGCAGAAAACCAGTGTGTTACAAATCTGGTGATTCTCTAAGAGGTGGGAAGGTAAGACAGTGTGTGTGGCAACTCCAGACTCATGGGCTTTTGTTCCATGAGCCTGGATTTTAATCCTTACTAACTGACCATGGACAAGATTCCTGTTTAGCCTCTAGGAGCTTCAGGTTTCTTATCTGTAAAACTGGAGTGATAGCAGCCTCGTACAAAGCACATTTGGCGGAATATGTAAGACAATGTGTTTGAAGTCCCTAGTAGGTAACAGGTGCTCATTAACTATAACTGCACTAGATTTGTCAAATTGCTCTTTTAAACCCTTTTAGGTCACCCACAGAAACTTAGGTCCCACCTAAAACCAACGAGTAAGACAGTATTGATACTATAAAATCCTCATTCCTTCTTTTTTAGAGTCCATAAAAACAATATACTTAGGTTCCTGTGGCTTTGTGTACACCTGTATTAAACAAGATAATACAGAAAAAGAGTTAAGCAGAGCCTAGCAAGAGATAAATACCATACAGACAGGAAGATGTATAGCTATTAGACACTCAAATATACACATGTATGTACAGTTATATATTAGCTACCTTAAGTCATCCACATTATTCTCTATCTCTTATCTCAAGTGTTGTGACATATGTACACACACACACATACACACACACATACACACACCTTCTCTCTCATCTACCCAAATTAAAGTTGAAGTCTCAGCTTCTAAGGATTTAAATCAAATCACTCACACATTTGGAAAGAATTGGACTCGATAAGTAAATTTATTTCCAGTCTTTACCAACTTTCACTCATTGCACATAATCATTAAGATTTTTGTTTCCACTAAACATAAAACAACATGGCCATCAGGATCATGATGGATGCCTCTGTAATTATTCAGGCTGTTATCAGAAAGAAGACCTCATTATGTTTAAAACTGGGGACTGGTAATCCTTAAATAGCAGAGATCACTTAAAAATTGACAAGTTGCCCATTTATACCTGGTGAGTAGCTATTTCATGCAATTTACATGAACTCATCTTTAAACCTTTGTTCTTTCATAAGATTTATTTTTCTGTATTCATATATATTTAATTATATGAACCATGTTTAAGAGAGTAACAAGAATTGCTCCAGATCATAGATTTGCTAAACTCTGTAATCAGCTATATTGAATATAAAAATAAAACTTATTTAAATCTGTCTTATTTTTCAAGTAGAAGATAACAATCTAAATTAAGCATATTTTTCTTTTTCCCTTTAGAAAGTTATTCTTTGAAGTTGTAAGACTAAACATTCACATAATACCCAGTTTTGTTTTACTTTTTAATTTGGGAGACAAAAGAGAACCAAAAGGTAGTTCAGTGTCACTCCTGTGTTTTACAGACTAGTTAACCGATGCCGATCAGAGGCCAGGCCTGCCCATGGCTCTAGTTGACTGCCTTTAGCATGCCCTTCCTGGCTGCTGTTCACTTGCCCCAGTGTCCCTGAAGGAAGCCATTGTCCTTCCTGAAGACTGACCATGGGGAAACCACAGGAAGGTGCCTTACCTGGTCAGCACAGTGGCAAGCAGCCTGACAGCTTCTTGCCAGTGCTCACCAGCCTGCTTCGCTCAACTGCTGAAGGACTCTTTCAAGTCACTCATCCACTACAGATGGTTCAAAGCACCCTTGGAGTGTCATCTTATTGTTTTAAATGGCACACTCCAAAAGACCAAAGCCATCAGCTGACCCGACCTGTTCCAACTCCTGGACTTCCATCACTGTAAAAAAAAAAAAAGGGGGGGGGGTGGTCCCCAGCCTTTTGTGTAAACTTACAACCATATGGCTGAGCCAGAAAAAGACAGTGGTATATACTGAAATAAGAAAAAAAATTAAATGAATAATTAACCTTACAATAGCCATGAGTAAACACAGTTTTCATGTTGAACTGCTTGACAGAGTCCTTGCAATTGACTGTGAAACAAAAGCCATCTGACTTTGTTCCAACTCAGAATGTAACCGTATGCAAACAACTGCTGTCAGAAACCCTCCAGCCTCCCTCCAAAGAGGTACTGTGGACTGACTTGATTTTGTGGGGGTGTTTGTAGGTACCTGGAATGGAAACACGAAAGTAGCCATAAAGACTCTTAAACCAGGCACAATGTCCCCGGAGTCGTTCCTGGAGGAAGCGCAAATCATGAAGAAGCTGAAGCATGACAAGCTGGTGCAGCTGTATGCTGTGGTGTCTGAGGAGCCCATCTACATTGTCACCGAGTACATGAACAAAGGTCAGGCGTCACCCTTGCTCTCCGCCCAGGGGCTACCCATGGAGCTGCCCACTGACTTGCTCTCCTCCCTAACTTCTGTCTAAGTCAAGAATTCACCTCAGGAGGAACTCTTTTATATATATATATATATATATATATATATATATATATATATATGTAGTGAGAGAGAGAGAGAGAGAGACTCATTTGAGAGAGAAAGAAAAAGCAATACCTCTTTGCTAAATTTTCTTATTGCAAGGCTAGACAATATCCAACTAAGTTGAATCTCCATCATTTCAACATTTTGCCTTCAGCCTTTCTCTTAAACATCAGATGAAGAAATGACTTGCTTTGAAAGAACACACTTTATTTCCCCATATTCTCACCACCCCCTACACCCCTATCATCTTAATTAAACCAGCATTGGTGGGGATGAGGCCAGAGTGACTGTTTTGGAAAAAACACATGAACCAAACAAGCAACAGCCTTAAAAGCTGATGCACCGTTCCTCCGAGAACCCAGCACAGTTCCTCTTTCTACTTACCCTCTTTTCAAATATAATTAGAATTTTTTTCCTGGCAGATCGTTTGTCCTTTGTATCCAGGATTATTTTGTAAATAATTTTGTGATTAAAACATTAAAAAAAAATCCCTGATGAGTGTCACAAGTCTCCAGCTTCTGCAGATGATTCTTCCCGCCTCAGTATACGTAAGCTCTGAGCTGGCCCAGGCTGTGTGCTAAGAGTGACCGCGAAGCTGCAGCTGTTTAGTCTCACATGTCTGATGGAAGGCCTGGCCAGCTGCGAGCTAATTAAGAGGAGCCACCTGCCTCACGCCTGGGCCTTGGATAGTCTTGTCCTGACTTACACAGCTGTCGGCAATCCAAGCCAGGGGTGCTCCAACTTCTCCCCTCATGTCAGGTCCTGAACTCCAGTGTTTCTGGTAGAGTAGAGCTGAGATAGGACCTGGGGACCTGCATTTTTTTTTAGTGCATTTTAACCCTAGTAATGCTGTCACTGTGAGTCCTGGAGCCACATGTTTCCCACATGGCACTCCTGCGAGCAGAGCTGATCAGGCAATGAGCTTCAAGTGGAGCAGATCCTCCGCTGTCCTCGTGACATGAAGGGAGATGAAATTCCCTTTCCTCCTTGGTTGTTAAATTGCTGCTGTTGTCCTTGAAGATGGCTTCCGTGCTGTTTATTTGCAAGAAGGTGGCAAAACATACTTCCCAATGCATGGAACGTTTTCCACTCTTGTCCTTTACATTAACCTTTTTCCATGTGGACGACACTCAACCGTTTTCATCACACTTCTAATTAAGAACACCAAAATACAGCCCTCTGTGGGGAATGCCTGTCCTTTAGAGTAGATTGAAACGGCTTTCTGTTTTGTCCCTAGGAAGCTTACTTGATTTCTTGAAAGACGGCGAAGGAAGAGCTCTGAAACTGCCCAACCTGGTGGACATGGCCGCACAGGTAGGCCCGACTGCTTTGGTGTGTGCACTTGACGTAGCGTGGTCCAAGGTCACTCATTCTCTGAGGCTCATAGCTCCTGTTCCCTGGGTTCCCACAGGTGGCTGCAGGAATGGCTTACATCGAGCGCATGAACTACATCCACAGAGATCTGCGGTCAGCAAACATTCTGGTGGGAAACGGACTCATATGCAAGATTGCCGACTTTGGACTAGCCCGGTTAATTGAAGACAACGAGTACACGGCAAGACAAGGTGGGCACCTGAATGATAGCGGCGTGAGTCCTGTCTTTGGGGTCGCCGCTTACCATGCCACTCCTCCCTCCTCCTTTCCTTCCTTTCCTCCAGACAGTATTTGAAATGTCACTTTTCCGCTGGGTTTCTCCTGCTTGGTGTGGCAGGAACTTGACAGCTGTGCATGTGGGCGCCTGTAGTGATCTATAGACGTGTGAGACATTGCTTTGTGGTGATTGGACACCTGCTGCTGAGACCCTCCTGGCTCATGCCACTCTTCTCGCAGCACCCGGGCCTGGGAACTCCACTTCTGGAGAAAGCAAGCTGTGCAAAACCAGCAGATGAGTCCAGTTGTTAGCTCATCACTCAACCAAAGCGCCACAGCAAATTGCAGTCATGTTCAAACTGAAGAATTTAATAAAGGCTCTTTTTTGCAAAGATGCAGGCAGATCTAAGATACCCACAAGGTGTGGTGCAGTATGTGACATCTGTGGAGTTCAGGGCTTGAAGGAGGGCAGGGCGTGGGTGCAAGATGACAGCCACTGCTGAAGACAAGCCACAGGGATGGTTCTGAGACATTCATACCACCCTCACTCTTCAGCATGCCAAGCCCAAGCAGAAGCTGGAGCCCAAAGAAGTCCGTGAATAAGTCTCCATGGGTTCAGAGCAGGGAGAAGAAAGGTGGAGAAAAGATGTAGAAGTCAGCAGCATGGGCTCTCAACAAGTCCCAGCTCTTCTGATTATATCCCTCACCCCGCCCACCTGCAAACAAAATCCGTAGTAAATTGCCCCTAAATGGAATATAATGCAAGCCAACAGCCACTGCAGCAGCTGCGATGAGATCGCCAGTACCAGGGATGAATTCCCAGGGATGTTCTCTGTCTTCACAGACCTCTGTCTAGCAGCTCCCAGGGGAACATGTGGAATCCCATAGGCCCCTTGCAGAGTGATGCTTGTAACTGGGAGGGCTGTGGGAGTGCAGCTGTCATTGCTGTTGGTTTCGGCTGGCGCCTGGGCATTCCAACAAGGCTGGGCCATCCCAGCCTGAATTACCTATTTCAGGGTACCCAGTTCAGTAACAACCAGCCCTGGAGTTTGCCTTCCCCTTCTCCACCTCCTCCTTTGATTCTTCCATTTCAGAGCAATTCTTCATTCCTTTTATTTGACTTTCAAAAAGAAAACCTTCCCAGTCATCTCAAGTGATGAGGGGAAATGTTCAGCGGAGACCCTCGGCTGGTGCAGATACCAGCCAAATGCTACATGACATCTTGGCCAGACAGCTCAGCTGTTTGAATTTCCCCCAACACGTGGTAGTTCTTGTATTGGTGCCAAATGCCCACACAGGGAGTTGAGCCCGTGCATCACACACAGGCACACACACTGCCAGATGGCATGCCATACCTCCAGTCAGAAGCACTTGGCCGCTCTGATTGGCACTAGCTGTGCAGAGAGGAATGTGGCTGTGACTTTGAGGGCAGGTGAGCTGAGAGAGGCTGGGCAGCCCCAAGTGATGGAGTTGATGCCGAGCCAAGCCGGAGAGCCCAGCCCCTCAGACGCAAGGGGCAAGTCATGACTTATTCAATGAGCAGAGAACTAGAACGGAGTCGTGTAAGGGACTTTCCATATGTGAGTACAGTCTCTGCCTCCAAGGGAGTGGGCAATGGCTCAGGACTCCCTTCTGCCCTTGCAGTGGTCTTCAGGCTGTGATCCCTGACACTTAGCCGAAAACAGCAGTGCCAGGGCCTGTACATGCCAGCAGGGGGTGCTGTCGGCATCCCACCCCCACCCCTGTACTCAGCATGCGCTTAGCTCACTGGGATGAGCCCTTAGGCTGTGCCCCTTGCTTGCCTCCCCGCAGGCCACCTGCTGCTCAGGTGCAGATCCCCAGGCATGCTGCCATCTGCCCTGACCACCCAGCCCTCCTCCTCATTCAGCTGTCTGGATAGCCTGGCTTACCAGCTTCCTCACCACCACTGCCATGCCCCCAGGTGCTGTGTGATCGGCCCTCTTGCCTTTATCCACTTCAGCTGTGCTGCCTCCTGCCTCCTATCAAGACAGTGATTAGAAGAACCAAAAATGCAATCAGGAAGGATTCATCCTCAGTCCATCCGCTTCTCCCTTTATTTTGCGGAAATGTCCCTAAGAGGCACCTGCTCCTGTGCACACGTGAGGAGAGTTGGAAAGACTATTCTCATTTTCCAGAGCTAGAACACCCCAGCTGTTTGTCCAAAAATGCCTCCCCAGGGCCTGGCCTGCCCAGGCACTTTTATGAGGCCGAGAAAGCCCAGTGCATAAGCACCAGGAGTACTCTTACAAATGGCACACATGCTGCAAAGTTCCTGCCGTGGGGGTGAAATGGCTCCTGCAGACAGCTGGTCTATCCGTGCATGTATGCAGTCACATTTGTGAGCTGGGTTTTATGTTACCCACAGGCCACAGTCATGCCACAGCTCAATTTCAGCAGTGCAGACGGCATTCAGAAACATGTGCCAAACACAGACATCTGAGGGCCAGGAAGGGCAGTTGTTTTCAAAACGGTTGTGGGCTTCCTATTGCAGGGTGCACTGACATGTCTTAGCACATCCCCCTGGGCACAGGAGATAGCACTGCACATCCGCAGAATCGGAATCTTACTGTCCTTGCCCATGTGCCCTTCCTCCTGTCCCTTGGAGCAGAAGCCCCATAGAAGGATGGAGGTCAAGACCACGCCCTGTGCCTACAAGGCATGAGCCTCCACTGACAGTCTTCTAGAAGCAACTAGAAATGACCTGCATATCTCACTCAGTTACAGCTGATAATTCTTTGCATCCATAAACCCTTTGTGAAATTCTGTCCAATCAAGGTCTCGCAGTGACGCCCATATCAATTGTTTGAGTGCCTTGTCGATGGCAGGTTCTTTCCTAAGGCACTTGTGTTAAGGCAACAGCAGTGCAGTGGGCAGCGTGAGAAGGGAGACAGGACTGTGTCTGCAACACAGCTCTGCCACCTGCCAGGGTGGGGCCTTGGGCAGGTTTGCTCATCTGTGAAAATAGAAATGCATGCTACTTGCTCCATGCAGTTTTGATGAATGAAGTGGGAGGGTGCACACAAAGTGTGCCTAGAGCGCCGTGCCCAGCAGCGCAGAGTGGGAAACAAATGTTTGTTACTGCTGTGGTTGTCTTACCCATGGATGAATGGGTTTGTAGATGTGGTCAAAGGCTCACACAGCACCAGGGAAAGGGAGAGGGGGTGCCAGGGTAATCCCCAAGCAATCAGATGCAGGAGGATGGAGTTACTGACGATGGAAATGTGGGAGTGTGAGGACCACGCTTTCCAAGGCAGGCAGCGTGGTTTGCTTTCGGACTTATGCTAGAGGCGCCTGGCATGGGTGTGCACAAGCCCAGAGAGCTCAGCTATGATGCCCGCACCCTGTTCCCCTGCTGCAGCCCTGCCCCAATCCCTCCCTGAGCTGCTGACATCCTCATCCCAACCACCTACAGAGCTAAACACTCTGTCTCCCACAGCTATGAGACCCAGAGATCTGCCAGCCCTGTATATTCACTCTGCCCCTGGCTTCCAAAAGCAGCAGCGTAGGGGGCATGGCGCCCAGTCTGGCTTCCCAAGACTCCCGGTGCTCTGATCGCAGACGCTGCTGAGCCTGCAGCAGACGCGGTGCTGCAGCTCGGACTTGGCACTGCTGAGCATTGGTGGCAGTCTCCGGCAGTCTCACAGAGACCTGGCCTCTGGAAAAACGCCGCACTTTGGTGTTTCAGCAAGCTCAGTGCACTCACATGGTTCAGTGGCCACATGTGAAGGGGGTGACCCAGTGGGTTTTATGTACGTCTGTGGCCCTGTAGCCACCACATAGGGGAGGGGACGAAAACCCCACTCCTGAGCATGCCACAGGAGCCACTCAGCACTCCCAGTTACACTCCATGCCCACAGGCAGCCTATAGCCCTCCTCTGTCACCAAAGCTTAGTTCTGTTTTTGTTTTTTCAAGATTTTTTTTGAAGAAAGGCAGATTTTACAGAGAGAAGGAAAAGGAAATCTTCCAACCACGGTTCACTTCCCAAAAGGCCACAATGGCTGAAGCTCAGCCAGTCCAAAGCCAGGAGTTAGGAGCTTCTTCCAGGTTTCCCACGTGGATGCAGTTTGCCCAAAGTTTTGGCCCATCCGCCACTGCTTTTCCAGGCCATAGGCAGAGAGCTGGATCAGAAGTTAAACACCTAGGACACAAACCAGTGCCTGTATGGGATGCTAGCACTTGCAGGTGGAAGATTAGCCAGTTGAACCATTGCACCAACCCCTCCCCCAGATCCCCAAAGCTTAGTTTTGCCTATAAGTTAACCTCACATGCAGAGAGCATGTAGTGCCGTTCTGTCTGGTTCCTATGCCTCCACTACATCTGTGAGGCTCATCCATGTTGTTGCGTGTGATGGCAGCCTTCCCTGTTTGTGATCAAGTAGTCATTTCCTCTACAAATACATCATAGTTTATCCATCCTGCTGTTGGTAGACATGTGGGATTTTTTTCCATGTCAGGCCTGCTACAAATAAAGCAGCTGTGTGATCCTGTATTGCTGGTATGTGTTCCAGTGAGTACAACTGCTCATCACAGGGCAAGCCTAAGTTGGCAGGTGTAGGATTTGTACCATATCTTTAAAGGGAGAGTTCATGTCCTTTACCTGTGGGGTACCTGCCTCCAAGCCACAGGGGCAGCCCGGTGAGACTGAGGGACCTGGCGTGGGAAGGGAGGAGCCCTGAGTTGGAACCAGTTCTATGGTTTATAAGCTGTCTGCCCCTAATCAGTCACTTAACCTTTCTGAGCCTCGTTCTTTTTTGAGGCTTATTTTATTTATTTAAAAGGCTGAGTTACAGAAACAACGAGGGTGAGAGACAGAAATCTTCCATCTGCTGGTTCATTATTCTCTTGATGGCTTCAGTGGCCAGAGGCTGGGCCTGTCTGAAACCAGGAGCCAGGAGCTTCAGTACAAGGAATCAACTGCTTGGGCCATCCTCTGCTGTTTCCTCAAACAAATCAA